GAGTATGAGGCTGGATGTCACCTCCTAGTTACAAACACCGTGGAAGGGTATTTGTTGAAAAACCTGAAAAGGAATTTAGATTAGTTCTGCTCTTAACGACCTGGGAGTGTGATAGCAAACCTCAATGGACAACTGCTTGTGACCAGTCACGCACGGACTTTTTGTAGTAAGTTGACGTGTTATCTCCAACCTTCAAATGGCCTTACCTCCGTAGACGGAAATCGGTCAGGTAAGGTGAGGTGTGACACTTTTAGGGTCGACTTTTCCTAACCCTTCCTTCCTTCCTTGTGAGAAGGCAGTATCGCTGCAGATACTGGTTGTCCGAGGGAAACAACTTACTGCTCTCTCACGTCTCTGCAGTCAGCAGTACCAAGGTAAATAGAGTGCACTCTAGTTGGCAAGTCTCAAGACCTGTTAGACACAGTTAGCTCGTCGGCGTTGGTCTACGCAGATAATGAAAATATCTGGATGTCCATTCAAAGCGAAGATGATCAGACTGAGCTTCAAAAGTACCTTGCATCCATTGAGGAATGAGCAAAGAAAAACTGTTTAAAACTAAAGATGATGAAATGTCGCGTCATGTTCACTCTGTACACATGACTCAAACGATTTACACTCTCGGTAATTTCTACTCAGAGCGCGATCTGGGTTTAGACACCTCTGGACGCCTCCACACCAACTCGAACTATTTTGGGGGCGCAGCTAAGGCAAACGCAACTCTTCACTTTATGCGAAGACAACTTGGTGCTATCACCCCGCAATTATTTTCAACCCTATTTAAGACGTATGCTCACCCACACCTGGAGCTTCACAATGTCATCGCACCCCCTCTGCTTACAGGAGACAAAAATTTCTTGGATCGAGTGCAGAGACTAGCAACCAAATGCGTGATAGGGTTGAAAAATAAACCTTACGACGACAGACTTCAGCAGTTGGGATTATTTCCACTGAGCTACAGGAGAATCACAGGTGATCCGATTATGGCGTACAACATATTAGGCACGCCAAACCATCCCAACGTGAGTATCTTACCGATGCATCACCACCACTCCTCTCGAGGCAATCCTCGAAAGATTGCACATCAAAGAGCAAATACTCAGATTCATGCACACTTTTTCTCATTGCGAGTCGTCGCGACTTGGAATGCTCTCCCAGGCGAGGTGAACACAACCCTCTCAGTAGACAGCTTTAAGAAGAGACTTGATACTCCCGTACTCACATACGGATTATCATCTGCCTCCTCAACAAGCTGTTCATGATGCATATCTTGAGACCTGCTAGTTGTTCTCATTGCCATCTCCTCGGATCAATTATTTAATATATATCGCCTCTCATCTCTGCTTACTCCCCCTTGCTTACACTACGGTCCTCTCTCATAATCTTCACTCCCAATTAATAAGTTAAATTGACCTATATATTACTTAGTTCTGAAATTTTATTCATATTAGCATTAGATATTTATCCGTATTACTCTCGACATTGCGACTAACTGATCTCCGGTCTGGTAATGTGATAGCTGCTGGTATCCTGAAACCCTAATGCACTAAAACAAACGTTTTCATTCAAATCACGGGACATACAAACGCAAAAACAACTGCCAACCGACTAGAATTAGACAGTCGAGTAGCTAGACCTCCATTCATTGGACACTACCAAACACCTGGAACCGTACTGAAAGAACAAGAGTCGAGCGCAAAGAAATCAATCGGTTTATAATAGCTCGCGAAAAAGATATTGGATATTGGGAGCAAAGTTTGAAATCACGAGGGGTCAAGGTCGGCTAATTGTAGGCTTGGCAGTTGTGGTTTATCAACAATCTTCTTTATCTGTACGTAATTCTGCATGCCTCTTTTCCTAATGATAACCGTTCAAAAGTTAAGCTAATATCGCTCATTGATCTAGAAGGTTCATCCTTCAATCATTCTACAAGGTTTCTAATCAGTACATTTCAGAAAATTTTTAAATAAGAGGGCATTTAGGGAATGCTCCATTTTTAAAAGTTTTGGAGAAATGCAAACAAAAGCTCAAAAATTTACTTTAGTCTGAGGGTTTTCCTCATAATCTCAACCAGCCTTGGAGAAACCCATTAAACTTTATTGACAAAACCCCAGTTTCGTACTATTTTGAGGAGACCTGAATTTTATCCAGTGTATGGGGGAAATCTTATGAGCTCCACTGAGGATTCTCCAGTGTTGTGGCCGTTTATAGGCGTTTTCCTCTTATTTGCAGCTGATCTCACAAACTCCACACAAATCAAGAATCATTCCTCTGTTGTTGTCCATATCGACATGTTCACTGTCTCATACCTGTATGGATGAAATCAGTAACATGTATTGTTTGCAAAAGCCTGCTACATAAATTAACTACGTAATCTAATCGTATAAGATAACAAATTCGGGACCCACAATTACAGTTTATTTACGTCATAAAAGTAGTATCTTGAAAATACGTTTAATATCTTACGCTCTGTCTGAAAATCCTCGTAGGATAGATTTTAATCAATATTGTACGTTTGATAAAAAAAACATAGAGTATTCTTGTATTATTATATTATTTCTTACCGAAACAGGTAGGACTTTTGAACCGTGAACACAGAACATTTGACAAGTGTACGCTTACTGCTCATTGTTTCATAGAATCTGTAGTTTCTTTTACCTATCTTGCTTTTATTTCCATCTAAAGAATGAGTAAAAGTCAGTTTCGGGCATCAGCAATAAGATAAACTAGCATTTGTGGACTTCTGAAGACCATCACTAACCATGGGATTACCCGACGGTAGCTGCTACCTTGACGTGGTGGTCGGACTTGCCTATCTTGATGACCCAACCAAGCTGTATTGGCTGGAACATACGTTTCTGAAGGTTCTGCTATGCCAGGCAGGTCGATTGGGGGACGATGAGACTAAAAGCAGCTACCCAAGGTCTGAGGGCGAAGTCGTACTGCTGACTGCAGAGAGGTGAGAGAGCAGTAAGGTGTTTTCCCTGGACAACCAGGTCGTTAAGAGCAACACTAATCTAAATTCCTTTTCAGGTTTCTCAAGAAATACCCGTACCTAGTATTCGATCAGAAATGTTCTTTTCGTGTATCATGGAACAACCAAGTAGGGACTACTGTCGTTAGGAAATGGGTACTAGGTAGGGGTGGCAAATCAATAGATGAAGTATTGGAACCCCTTCAGTTGAGGTGGTTTAGACATGTTTTACGAATGCTCAACCACCGACTGCCTCGACGAGCTATGTTTTGTAGTGTTGGTTCAAGCTGGACGAAAGTAATGGGCGGCCAAACCAAAATACTGCAGAAATCCATGGAGCCACTGACAATTGGACTGAGTCGTGTCGGTAGGTTTCGACTACCTCGGAAACGAAAGTCACCGATGGTTAGAGACCTTGAATGACACGGCTCAAAATCTTTTTCGATCGCGCAGGTGCAGTCCTACGTTGTATCTGACTGACTGACTTGACAAATACTTAGCAATCGGCGAAAGATTTTCAGTCGAAATTTTGACCATAAAGTTAACTGAAACACATCCATTCTCCATTATAGACACTTCTAGTTCCTACGACGTGCATGAGTAGACGTCAAATTTTCGCTTAACAAACCTAACAATTTTTCGATCATATAAAAATACCGATTCACGTTTTAGGTTTCTCAGTTTTAGACGGTAACGTGTCATCGTGTCTGCTCAGTGTTATAACCGAGTAGGTAATCTAAACCACTAAATGAGGCGGCTTTGGAGTTTTTGATTGCTTTTCTTCAAAATTCTGAAAATAAAGCTTCCCTAAAGCATCCTTTCAATTGACAGAAGTTTTAAAAGTCAGGAGGTTAGGCTGTCTATTAAATAAAATTTTCTGAACTAGGATGATGAATTTTCAAATTTTTCGGCATTAAAATCATTTGAATAATTTAAGTGTTTTGAATGCTAACTGCATTGGGTAATTTTTATGTAACATACAGTACAGGTGATCTTATGTCTTTGATTAACATCTCCGGGTTTGATGCTGATCATATATGATTTACGATGCTTATGTACGAGATATGATGGCTGAACTAGTTTCTGCGATGTCACAAACAGGAGGTATGAACCACTCAGTTTCGTAGATAACTTACAACTGCAATGGGGATTTTTGTAAATTTCTGGATTAAGTTGCGACACCTAAAAGCTGCTGTTTTTGTGACCCAATTAATCATAGGTTTGTTTAAGAATCGTAGAAAATGGTGTTTGAGAACGATCAAGGGTATAAATCAGAGTATATGTGTTTTATTTGCTCTGTTTAGTTACACTTTGGAAAGGATAGAAGGTTGGGTTGTTTCTTTTGGTTCTAATATTACGACTCTCAAATAGTCTGACACAAGTCTGTAATGTTGGTCTCTTTCGAATACCCTACTGAATTCCATGAAGGCTATATTTATATGTAACTATCGTTCTTCAAGAGCACATCATTTTTCTCGAGCTACTAGTAATTTCATTTGAAATGAATAGTTTTATTTTAAGCCATGCTGCATTTTAGAAAATCTTTTCTCGAATCTTAGCAACCACTCTGGTTAGGCAAACGTGCTGATAATCCCCAGGCTTTTGTCTTCTACCCGTTTTGAAGATATGACTTATAGTACTTTGGCAGTCTACCTTGGTCACCGATAAAGTAAAGAATACTTAGTGGATTAGCGTCATATTTATCTGTGTAGTTTCTAACTTTTCTTCGATATTATATATTCTGTAAATTTTCGGAATCTCAGTTGTTGTAGTGGTTTTCTTAAATGAAGTTCATTTCCATATGATTCAAATTGTCCCTTATCTTTCATGTTCTATTACATGTTATTTCTGTCGTTATAAAAATGACCTTATCTTCCCACAAATGCAACATTATTAAATGTGCTCAATTAATTTTTAGAGAATATTAGGTGTCTGCAAGTTGGCCTCTCCAGTTATCTAAAGAATGACTATTACGAGAAATATGCTTTTTATTTTTATTTTTCTCTTCCTCGACGTTATAACTGTGAGTATGATCCTGCCATGGTTACCTTCCCTTTTGGAGGCATACGAGTCTGAAAAAGTAAGTTGAATTTTGTGTATATCATAGAAGGACTGGTTTTATATTTTGTGCAAGCGATATGTCCATGTCCTGAGTTTTGCTTTGGGATTTGAAGAAGGTTCTACGTGGGACACAGTACTTATTGGAGGTATAGTACACTATTTAGCTGTAATATTTTCATTTTAGGTCTCCTATCGTCATTATCATCTTTGGCACAGTTCGCATCATCGCCTATAGCTGGAGCTTTATCAGACTACTTTGGGAGGAAGTTGGTTTTAGTTTTCCTTCAGGTTTGTTGGCACATATAAACGACTTAGCTATTCCCATATAGAAATTTGAGCAACGGCGAGGCGAGGCATCGTCTTAATAAACGTTAGTGATTGTTGTGCAACTTGCATCTGGTGTGGAAAAGCTGTCCAGTTTACGATAAATCAGCCTGTTTCGTTAAATCGACTAGCTCTAGTAGAATACGTTTAGTGTTTTTCTGCAAATTACAACTATGGTAGAGTAGGTGGAGAAACTTAGATGTGTTCTATATTAGAGTGATAACTTTATGGTTTTAACTCAAACCAAATAAACATCAATAATATTCCAACTACAGGAAATTAAGAAAAAAATTGCTAAAACTAAATGTGCTCTTATCTTGGGTTTTTGTACTGCTGTTAAGGTAAGAATGTGAAGTAAATTGCATTGACATATTTCTTATTCTTAACGCTGAAGTACAAAGGATTTAACAGTGAAATAGTATTTAAACTCTGCTAGATAACGTTTTGGGTTGAAGTACAATCTCACTCGTTTTGTACGGTGGTTATTTCTTTTCCGTATTCTTCTGATTTTTTCATTTTATAGGTATCACTTATAATCTCTAATGTTTTCTGGTCAATATTGGGCAAATCATTTCTGTGGCTGCTGATATATCGTGTATTGTGTGGTGCTGCACGAGCAAATGTTGGTGTAATTTCAGCTCTTGTTGGCGACATAAGCAGTGATACATTGCGTACTAAAGGAATGGCGGTTGTTGGCCTGGCTTATGGTATTGGGTTCACTATAGGACCACCATGCTCAGTTATCCTACTTAGCTGGTGGAAAGTACACACATCAACCGAATACTTGAGCTATTTGCTTGGTTCTACCTGTTTGCTTATTAATTGTATAAATCTAATGATCTTAATTTTTCTTCTACCAAGTACATCACAAGAGGTATAAATCCCTATTATGTAATATCACATTTATATAAATTATCACATAACTGACATTTGAAAGCCATTAGAGGTCTATAGTTTGAGTTTAAATTCTTAGTGATTTTATTCTTCAATACCAATTGCCCGATTACGTAAGTTTCATTTTACAACGAAAGATATGCGAGAGACATAAAAGTAAGGTTATTATGTGTCATGCACCTAATCTGAACACACCTTATCACACTTATGAATTCATTCAGTCAGTCAGTTGCGACGTAGAATTTCGTACTTACGTACATCAGTTCAAGTTCCCATACCACATAAGCACAAAGAAGCAATTGTCAATTCGAATTCCATAGTAGTAGAGGTAGCAAGAGTATTAACAGTAATCAAGAAGACTATTGATCGAATATATCATTCGAGATGTATACACCAGAGAAATCAGTTAAAAAGAAAAAACGGTAAGGAGGAATTCAGAAGATTAGAATTTGATAGAAGCCAAAGAGTGAATGCACCTGTACCATTGCAATTGGGACGAAGACCTTGTACATCTCAATTAGTCATTTCACACAAGACATCTAAAAGTATAACATGCTCTGTACACCAATGAAATTGAAAGTACTATATGCAAAAGCATGTACTACGCATATGTTTCATGGTGAGACGTTGGTAGTATTCAAAGTGTCTGTGTGTTTATCTCACTGTATCAACGCTGTCGGCAACGATGTTGGGACATAAAATCACCTCATAAATAATATGAGCCATAATGGTTTATGTTAGTTTGGATCATCATTGGAGCCGTCTGGATATAAGAAGTCGAGTTTATTCTGAGGATACACGAGTAGTATTTTCTATTCTTGTGAATCTTGTTCTCCCGAAAATGAGAATGTTTGACTCTTATTACCTAATCGTTGGTCTCTGAAGAATTTCCCACATCTACTGACACACCGTATTAGTATTGTAGAGGTCTGATAATGTGTCTTTGGCCTTGGTCATGATGATCCAGGTGGTTTCACACAGGTGAAACACTACCTTTGGTGAATTACCGACATTCCATATAAAATTTTATAATGAAGCACATGTTTCATAGGTTACCAACCTTGGTGTTGGTATTAATATGATGCAATAAAGGACAGGTACGCCACACTGGTATGGATTAGTTCGTCACTATCCTCTGTGTGGTAATCTAAAGACCGTTCGTTTTAGGCTTGAGATGTTTCTATAAATGGCTTCAAATAGGAGTTAGAGACCATCGTGCCTCAGTTTTTTTTATTGTATTCTCCATGGATGAAAAGAAGCTTCTTCAGATTGAATGACTGATTAATACACGCTATCTTTGTTTCTTTATTATGTGTTTTATATGGTTTTTTCCTGTTCTGTCTCTGTGCACTATTGTCACCTCTCCTTTTGAATTGTAATACCTTCGTTCTTTTAACACCATTTTTTTAATAAAATGGGATTTGTCCTATCTGCATAAAAATGTGATCCATCAAAAAGTAATGTAAGTAGATTTCAAGATGTGTTTAGTTACTTATAATTTTCCCAGGTTTATTTTCTTTTCAGAGCCCAAATTTCGGTCGATTGATGGAACAAACAATGCGTTTGTTAAACCCAGTGAAGTTGTTCTCTTTGTCTGATACGACGAGAAGCACTAAAGGTGAGTTCGATTTGTTATTCAATCATGCGCACTTTTCTGAAGCTTATTCTTGTAGCACTTGTACCTAGGGTTATATTCAGTCCATAATTTACAATAAATTGTATTTATTTAATGAGTTGTTTATGTCTCATAGATAAGAAATCTTTGCGTCATTTGGCAATCTTTTGGTTCGGCTACTTGTGCGTGTATTGTGGGATAGAATATACATTAATATTTTTGGCTAGAGCTCGCTTTAATTTTACAAGGTCAGTCAGTATCATATGAAGATACTTTCATTCTTTTGAACATAATTGTTATGATACAACTATCAGGCATTTTTATTTATTTAACTGTTCATTATAACAAAGAAACTACCAGTTAGCAATAGTTAATGATGGACATTAAAATAGAGAAAAAGTTTCTATTTGTTCATATCCATTGATTTACTATGTGATAGGATAGTTGTAAACATGTTTGCTTCATACTTTTCATTTATCAAAGCCCCTTTTGAACGAGTTAATCAGTCGGTTTTTTCTCTAGTAAACCACTACTTATATGAGTAATAATAACAGTTGAAAACCCTGATGTTTAATAGGCTATTGAACGTTACCCTACTGGCAAACTTTTATTTCATAACAAGATGAATAAAGGTAGAAAAAAATTAAAGGTACTATTTAAGATAAAATAAATGCTTTTTTCAACATCTAGCTGGTTCTAAGAACGAAACAGCAAAATCACTTTTGGTTTCAAAGTAATTTCTCAATTGGTATTAACTATACATTAGTTGATTTTAATTAGGTAAATGTATTTTGACCCATGGTACTGGGATTTGTTGCGTAATTATGAAGTTCTTGTAATTTTGTTAGTTTAGTTACTTTGCAGGTAACTTTAGTTTTTTTGACGAATCCCTTGCTCTAAAGTATTTCATCTTTTGTAATTGCATACATTTTTGCAACTAGTGCTGATCAAGGCAAAATGTTCGGGTTTATTGGACTACTCATGATGCTAGTTCAAGGTATGTCACACAAAGTATTCTAATTTAACTTCTAATTAACAAATTTACAAAAGCTTTCAGTTTTCTGTTTGTTTACTTATGCTAATATGATGCTGAAATATCAATGTGCTCTTCTAATTTCTAATGAATTTTTGAGATGTCGGTGTCGCTTTATGGGAGATAAAAAGAGCCGCGATGACATACACAATTTAATGGTTGGTGAATAGGTTGCTGGTTTGCTTACTTAACTTTTTTTGAAGAGATACTAAATAAATCTCACTTAACGGATCTAAAAAAGCAGACTGTGTAAAATGACTAATACAGCTAGCCATTATGACAAGATTCAGTCAGTCAATTACAACCTAGAACTTTGTACTTACGTACGTAAGTTCAGATTCCCATACCACATTATCATTTTTTCTCTCGAAATGGCATACCAGATGTGATTGTAACTGACAACCGGTCGCAATTTACCTCTACCCATTCTCAAACTTACTGTCAACGGCCAGCTGTCAAACACTTACGATCGCCACCATACCACCCGCAATCGAATGGCCAAGCGGTACGTTTTGTGGATGCGTTTAAAAGAGCATTGGTTAAGTCAAAAGGGGGGAACAACGGCGGACGCGTTACAAAATTTCTTGTACGTTTATCGAAATCAGATACGCAAACAGCTAGCGCCAGATCGCCCATCAATAGGACCAAATCTTCCCCTTTACATCCTGCTAGATACCTTCAACTGACCGACAGTCCCATCATGAGAACCTCAACAACAAGCTGATCTCCGTACCAGAAAGTATCCTCTTCGACAGTGGTGAGCAACAGTCAAGATGCAAGTCGACCCCAGGAATTATTAAGAAGGGAGGAGTGTTGGGGACGATAGATCCCCAGAACTCACTTGATAAAGGTCCCAATTTCGCTTTCTATTTATGGGATGATCAGTTGACCTTGAGATCACATTGTCTATTTACAATCTAAACGGATGCTCCTCAATATTAAGAGTAGTGAACTTTCTCTCATTTGTTGATGAGCTTTGACAGGAAGATATTAGGCTCAACGAATTGGTACCGGATCTCGGAACAGACCTCTTAGTACTTCTGGATCGGTCTGGATTTCTCTTAAGACAAAAACCATCTTTATGATCGACGACCTTACACTACTTGCATCGATGTTGCTTAAATGGGCAGTTTCGTACATAGTGCCATGAACCACAGTTCCAGCAAGGAGCAGGGGGATTTGTTTTATTCTGTTGGACTGAGCTGGAGTGGAATGGACTGGGTGTATCAGGGGCACAATTATTCTGGTTGGGTTTCTGTTGTACTAAATGCACTTCAAATCGACTAAACCCACTACTTTTCACCGTAGTCCTGTCTCGCTGTAGATTAATGAAGCGTTGGTATTCATTAGCCATGTCATTAAGGGTGAGTTAAGGATCTTGATCCAATAAACACAGTAGCCGTGTCACTGAAATTTTGGGACTGGAGGCTATAAATGAGGATTGAGGCTTTAAACTAGTCTTCCGACAAAGACTTCAACCGACAAAGACATTAACCTTATATACATACACCACTGGTCGGGTGAGAGCATATGGCGAACTGTCATCTGAATTCTCTACATCAAGTGGTGTCCGTCAGGGCTGTCCACTCTCTCCATTCTTGTTCAACTTTGTCGTAGACATCCTCTTAGAGTTAACATTAAGCTCGTCAGATTTTTCAGGGGTTGACCTTCTACCAGGAAAGTCGCTTACTGATCTAGAATATGCCGATGACATAGTTCTATTCGGTGAAGACGCTGACAAAATGCAGAGTCTTCTGACTACCATAAGCAACAATGCGAGCATGTTCGGGATGCGGTTTTCCCCGTCGAAATGCAAAATGTTGCTTCAAGACTGGATTGCATCGGCACCTGAACTAGTGATAGGGAGTGAAGTAGTCGAGCGTGTTGATCACTTCACTTATCTGGGGAGTCTCATCAGTGCTGACGGTCTGGTGACTGACGAAATCTCAGCTCGGATACAGAAAGCTCGATTGGCTTTTGCCAACCTGCGTCACTTATGGCGTAGGCGTGATATCCGTTCGCTAACCAAAGGGCGGGTGTACTGCGCAGCAGTTCGTTCCGTTCTCTTATATGGCTGTGAAACATGGCCGTTAAGAGTAGAAGATGTTCGTAGGTTACTAGTATTCGATCATAGATGTTTAAGAAGCATTGCTCGTATATCGTGGGACAGCCGAGTAAGCAATGCTGTCGTTAGGAAACGAGTACTAGGTAAGGATGGCAGATCAATAGATGAAGTGGTGAAACTTCATCAGTTGAGGTGGTTGGGACATGTGTTACGTATGCCTAACCACCGACTGCCTCGACGAGCTATGTTTTGTAATGTAGGAGTAGGTTGGAAGAAAGTTAGGGGCGGCCAGACCAAAACATGGCAGAAATCCATGAAGTCACTGACAAGTGGACTGAGTCATGTTGGTAGATGTAGACTACCTGGTTGGGGTCCGCGAGACAATAGTCACCGATGGTTAGAGACCTTGAACGACATGGCTCAAAATCGTTTGCAATGGCGCAGGTGCATCCACTCTTTGAGCTCTCTCAAATCCTAATCTTCTGGATTAGCCAGCACCTCTACCTTTGTCTTTTTAACCTTATCTCACTGAATTATATTTTTTGAATAATATCTTAAACCCTAGTCTTCTTTATTATAACATTAATACCTCTACTATCTTTATCACTATGGGATTTGATTTGACATTTGCGTCTCTGTGCTAATAATGTGGTATGGCAACATGAACTTATGTACATACGTACGAAGTTCTACGTTGCAACTGACTGACTGACTTCAACCGGAAAACACTCGCACTCACGGTTGACGATGCACACATGGATTATTAACCCATTGGGGTTTTCCTGCGTGGGTTCGAATCCCATCCGCGTCGCTAATTGATATGCCCGTCAGTGGGATATGCTTGTAACTATTACGAGTTCACCTTACTCGGTAATGCGAGCGAAGACAAATGATGCATTAACACGATAGGCTATTCTAACCCGTTTTCTCCTGCCCAGCTAATTATATTAAGAAGTCTTGATATGACGTAGATAGTGTATTCTACATGCACCCAAAAATACGAGGTTGACAAGCACACAAATCGAGCTTATTTGTACATCACAAAAACGTCCTTGGGAAAGCCATGAAATTAGTATACTAAAATAATGCATCAACCAGTGACATCCAAGGGTTTGCAGGGTGGAAAATGTAATCCTATGGTCAACCGAGTAGCTTTTGTGCGAAAAGAAAAAAATCTAGAATTAGGACCTTTTCCAAGTGACTTCTGGGGATCTATCATCCCCAGCAGTCCACTCACTCCATTCTTATTCGACTTTTCATCGACATGGTTTTAGAAACAACACTTTCCTCGTCTGATTTTCGAAGAGTTGGATGTTTACCAGGAAACTCGTTTGTTGACTTAAAATAAGTCGATGACATAGTTCTGTTTGGTGTAGACGGTGACAAAACACAGTCTTATGACTACCGTAACTAACTATGATATCATATTCGTGATGCGGTTCTCTCGAAATGCTAAATGTTGCTTCAAGATTGGGTTGCATCGGCACCTGAACTAGTGATTGGGAGTGCAGTAGTGGAGAGTGCTAACCGCTTCACTTATCTGGGGAGTCTCATCAGTGCCGATGGCCTGGTGACTGACGAAATCTCAGCACGGGTACAAAAAGCTCGATTTGCTTTTGCCGACTTGCGTCATTTGTGGGGTAGGTGAGATATCCGTTTGCTGATTAAAGGACGAGTGTACTGCGCAGTAGTTCGTTCTGTCTTACTTTATGGCTGCGATACATGACCAGTGAGAGCAGAAGATATTCGTAGGTTACTGGTTTTCGATCATAGGTGTCTCCGAAGCATTGCTCGTGTATCGTGGGACAACTGAGTAAGCAGTCCTGTTGTTTGGAAACGGGTACAAGGTAAGAAGGGCAAGTCGAATGTTGACTTGGTGAACTTTTATTTCTTGAGGTGTTCAGTCAGATGCAACGTAGAACTTCGTACGTAAGTACATCAGTTCATGTTGCCATACCACATCAGCACAGAGATATAATTGTCAATTCTAATCCAATAGTAGTAGAGGTAGTAAGGGAATTAGAAGTAATCGGAGAGGTTAGGATTAGAAGATATTATTCACGAAGTATTATTCAATGAGAAAAGTTTAGAAAGTCAAAACGAGGGGTGTTGAAGAATCCAGAAGATTAGGATTTGATAGAACACAAAGAATAAATGCACCAGTGCCATTGCGAACGGTTTTGAGCCATGTCATTCAGGGTATCTAACCATCGATTATAGTCATCTCGCGGACCCCAACCAGGTAGTCGACAACTACTGACATGACTCAGTCCACTTGTCAATGACATCATGAATTGCTGCCATGGTGTGGACTTGGGGTTTTCGCTCAAATTCAAATCGTCCGAGTACCTAGTTGAGGTCCGCGAGACGATAGCAAGCGATGGTTAGTGACCTTGAATGATATGGCTCAAAATCGTTTGGATTGGTGAAGGTGCATCCAATCTTTGCACTCTTTCAAATTCCAATCTTATGAATCCCTCATTATCGTAATTTTTTATCTTTTTAAATTTACTTATCTGAATTATACTTCCTGAAAATTTTTTTCGATTGATAATCTTCTTCATAACCGCTAATACTTCGGTTGCCTTTACTACTGAGGGATGTAAATCGACGATTCAGTTTCTGTGTGCTAATGTGGTACGTAAGTTGTACCTGTTTGACTGATTGACGGGTATCATGCTATTGTCTGTCTGTTTAACGATAACGAATCAAAACTACTTGTCAATTTCATAGATTTGATTATTTTACTAAAAATATGATCTTAAAATCTGTCGGCCCAAGGGAATGTCAACAATATACAGCTATTGTAAAACTTGGTTTTGTTATGTCGAATATTTATTAAAATTTGGATTTGTTGTGCCTCTGCGTAAACATCATTAACACTTATAAAAACAAACAACTTAGTGAAGATGATTTCATCTAGACGGGCTTGGAAATTGTATATTCACATCACACTAGGAATTTACCATCTTTGAATTTTTATTTCAATTTCACCATGAATCTAATGTGTTAATTTTTTCCTTAAAAAGGAATATACTAGAAAAGCGAATTCATTTTGTCTTTTTTCAAACCTAGGCTTCTTCATACGTCGCTTTAAACTTGGTGGAGAAGACAAAGCTATTACATGGGTGAGTTCTATTCATGTTATCTTAAAATTCAGTTTCTTAATAATATCTGATCTATCCAGGAGGGATAGAATACCATTTATTTGTGTTGTTGATTTGATTAATTGAACAATTGTTGGTGGAATAACTGATTGGCAACGTTTGTTTAGGTAATGATGTATATTCATATTTATGATAAATATCAGAACCGTTATTTACCCAAATCACTTGTTTTGGATTTAAACTTGGCAAGACGCGTATCTGAATTACCTGGACAGTTATTCCTAAATCGAAACCTCAGTTTGGATCCTACAATTCTTAACAAATACCAACATATCGGAATTCTTTGGCTAACGTTTCGGGCATTTCAATTATCGTTTCTGAACATATGCTGGCCCTTCTCTTGTGATGCCGAACGCTCGTCAAAGGAAGTCAAGCTCAATTGTTGTTAGGACTCAAGGAGACAAACTGAATGATGAATCCCCTGTTATAAAGCATGTACCTTTTGATGTTCTTATGTGTCATGGTTCACACCCAAATAATGATAATTGTCATGATAGTGATTCTAGTCATAAGTCGTTGTTAGAAGTCATGAAAAATCTTAGTTTAAATAAGAAGCTTGAAGTATTGGAAAATAAAGTAACGCCTATAGCGCCTGTTTTAGGTCTAGAACTACCAAAGGTTGAGTTGAGTTATTTCGATGGACTACCAAGAGGGTATTGCAAGTTTGTAAGGCAGTAAGAGACTTATGTAGAATCAAGAGTCAATGACGATAGCCGGTGGTTGCCATATTTGATACACTACTGTAAGGGAAAGGGCAAGATCAGCCATTGAGGGTTGTGTCATGGTGAAAGCCTCTGCTGGTTATAAGAGGGCTAGGGTAATTTTTAAATGGTTGTTCGTTCAGTCGCATGTGATTATAATGACGCAGAGCAGTTATCGACTTGGCCGTAAGAATAGAAAATTGTGCCATGGTTTAGGAACAAAAGAATTATACTGCGGACTTTAGTTACTTTAGAGAGAATAGTGAAGCTTTTGCCCCGACATTTGCAAGCTCAGTGGTCAGAACTGGCAGTTAGATGGACTGAAGACGATAGAGAGCCGACGTTTGCCAAGCTCACGCTCTGCTGCACGGTGAATAAACAGCCAATAGCTTGAATAAAAAGCCTGATACACAGAAATTTTGTGGATTTAATCGATCACTAAGCAGTTCTGTATGCTTAGGAATGATTCTCGTAAGATTAAGATCGGGAAATTCCGAAATTGTGGGATATGCTCTTTTGGATAACGGCTCTGATGCAACGTTGATATGGTCTGACTGTTTGAAGCCGCTCGGGCTGAAGGAAGACTCAGCATCAATGATAGTTCAGAGTGTAGGGGGTAATAGGACGGCAAAGGTCACGAATGCTCCTTTTGACGTATATTCTTTAGATCGGTCTGAACATGTGATTCAAGGAGCTTTGATTGTGTCAACTATACTAGGGCATAAGCCATCGAGGTCGGCAATGAACAACTTAGTTAAGTGGCCGCATTTAAGTGGTATGCCGATAGAGTTTAAACTCTGAAGTTCTACTGTTGATCGGTTGCGTCGTGCCGGAAGCACATTGGGTGTTGGACCAGCGGTTAGGTGGAAGAAAAAATCAATACGCTGTGAAAACGTTGTTAGGATGGACTATTTTTGGGCCTGCATCATATCTGCAATTTAGAAAAAGTTTTTAATCATACTAGAAAAGTACAGCCATTGTAAGACCAAATACGTAAGCTTCATGATGTGGTGTTTGCTGACGTCTATTCTAGTGACAAGTCAGTATCTGTGGAAGGCGAGGCGGCCATAGAGATCGTGGAAAGCGGCACACGCTTCGACAATTGTCATATTATAGTTCCAATACCATGGAAACAGAATCCATACATGGTGGTGAATTCTGAAGTAGCAAACAGTAGATTACAGAGTCTGAAGCGTAGGTTGCTGAGGGATGACGACCTACACGTCAGGTATACCAAAAATATGGAAGGTTATTTTACTAAGGGCTATGCGGAAAAAGTCCCTGAAACACAATTGTGGCCTGATTATCGTCCTCGATGGTATTTACCTCATCAGCACAAGAGACCAAATAAGTCACAATCCTCTATACAACTCCTGATACCTCTTATCTCCATGATCAACACCTCTTTCATTCCTTCGTCACCTCGAGTCGCTGATGCAAACGTAACTAATGCACGAAACATAATTTCTGGTTTCGTGAAACCCTGTTCTGAACTACATATTGGAGTTTTTAATGTCTGAAACTTGTGTCAAATGGGACAACAAACTTCCCTAGCTATGCTCTAGAATTTCGTGCTATCAATGTATGATGCGTCTCCGAATCGTGCATACAAGATGCGACTACAGTTATTAATTTGACTTCACCTTGTTCAAATAAAAAACCCACTCGGTCTGCTTCAGCTATGCTCAAATAAGCGCCTATTTCTAGCAAATACCAAACTTAAATACGAGGAACATCTTTTGATGTATCCTTTTGAATTACTCACCATCTCTATCGTTCTATTTCTAAATTTATCTCACTGAATTATAATTCTTGGATTATATCTTCGAATCCTAATCTCCTTTACCGCTAATACTTCTACTATCTCTACAACTATGGGATTTGAAGTGACGATTGCGTTTCTGTGCTAATGTGGTATGGCAACTTGAACTGATGTACGTATGTACAAAGTTCTGCGTTGTAACTGACTGACTAAACTGTATAGCAATTAGTTTTAATTAACGTTGCTATAAACCTCTTCTTTTTCGGACGCTAACATCTTGAAATATTTTTTTAGCAATACTCATACGTGACAGTTGCTCTTTTTTTTAATAGAGTACATGTTGTTTGATTTTGGCGTCTGGTATTCTCGGTTTCGCAACAAATATTTTCATATTCTATATTGGGTTAACTTTATATGCATTCGCATCATCCATCTTCTTTCCAAGTGTGAACGGTTTGGTTTCTTTGCACACTACTGCACAGCAACAAGTATGTTGATTAAAATTTTTAGATTTGAGTAAAAAATTACCTATGTTTTAAGCACTTCCTTGTTATGTATCGAATACATTTCTAGAAGCATTGCAATATAAGACTCAGTTCAACTACTTCAATGATATTCTTGATTTAAAGAAAAAAGCTGCTCACATCCTCAATTCTGCCTGCAAAATGACTGGAGTTTTGAAACTTCTACAGATCGAATATAACGTTATGTTAAGTCGTGCAGTGTCTGAGCCTAGCATAAGCTTCCTAAATATATAGGAAGTCCTCAGCCGGCTACTGAGTTAGAAGACTGAGAGCCAAACAAAGTTTACTTCTCGGCCAGTCACATGTACTGATCATTAGATTTTTGATTAGGACAATAGGGTTTTTTTACTGACCCACCGTATCACCTTACCTCCCTGCAAAATAGGCATAGCTTCTTAGATTTAACTGGTAGCGTTGAAATACTACCTACTGCTTTTAGAGAATTTGTAACCCCGGAGTGTGTTGATTTGATGGCCGACATCTTCTGATGGACATAGCTGGACGTCAAAAGTGAATGATTATGCCTTATCACTAATTAATAAAGTACTTGATTGCCAATGTGATAATATTAAGTAAAATTAATACATTTAGGGGTAATGTGGTCAATATATTTATAAGCACTTTTGAATACTATACCAGGGGTACCTGTAATATGATCACAACTGAGATGAATATTTGTAACTTAATCACTGATGAAATGAATGCGTTTGGCAGTATGAGCAATTGTAATATCCTTAGTGGCCCAGGATCTGACTTCGATTTGTACGAACCATTGAATATGCTATGAAATAAATCTTCCATTTAGTTTTCGTATATTATTCTTAAGCAAACGCCGTATGTGCGACGGTGTTAATTAAAAGCCTAATGTGGTTTTAGTTAGATAAATGTATTTCATTCACTCACGTAAGGAGAAAGACATAAGAACGATAAGTGTATTGTCATTCGAGTCGCGTAACTATGGATGAGTCTATATAAGAAATAAATCCGGATCTTGCACGTTATCGTAGATCTTTCATAGAAAGAACGACGACAGGATAGACCGGATAAAATTGGTGTATTTGCTGGCAATTTAGTGGTATCAAATAAATACCGAAGCGTGCTAGAGAATGAACAATAGTACACAGCAACCAAAACAGGAAGGCGATCTAAATAGGTGGGCTGGACAATGACCGTAGCGTAATGTCGGGATATATACAAAAAAACGGGTCATTGTGTCTAAACAAAAGTACGAATGAAAGAATATTCGATAGTACGTTCACTGGCACAATCGATTCTAGTAATGAATGTTGCTATTTAACAAATCGTGTTTTTTCTTTGTAAAAGTGAAGTCAATACAGCAGCCTCCCGCTAGAAAGGGTGAACACGGTTTTGTCCGTGAGACTGATCAGCGAACGCGCGATTGTAGGACGAAATGGGTGACGAACAGGAATCGACCCATGATGCTCGAGTTGTTACCGAAGATCTATTACTTAGAACGGTACCAGATTTGTTGCTTGGGTTGGCGTGCCACACCAAAGTGGTTTGTATTCAAAATATTAAGACGGCGTTCAAAAGACTAGAACCAGAAAACTCTACTGATGTAGGACGAAAGCAAGTTGACCCGGGAAACGAAAAATGGCCCTGGTAACCAAAGCCGAAACCATACGTATGCAAGACGTAGTTAGAACTAGAATGTCGACCGGGTGCATTGACAGAGACGTGGATGACCAGACTAGCCGTAGCCAATGTCGAGTGACGTCGAAGGTATCGGAAGCGCGATGGTCGGAGGTGTACGCTCAAGGTAAGAAGAATTACGAAAAAAGCTGTAGCCACCATGCAGTTAAGTATAGAGTCCTATACTCTACATGTTGCTTATTGAAAGGCTAGCCGCAAAAGCGTTCAGGTACATGTACCTGGCGACCTGAACGTGGGACGGTAGTCTCGTCCTTACCTCGTGGTTGAGAGCTTGAGACTTCAATGTCAAGGACAGCGCAGTATGCTATTGTGGACATGAGACTGCAGTCTCATCCGAAGATAATACAGATGACGAGTGCTGTCGACGAGGCCTCCGATGTGTCTAGCGTGAGGTATGAACGAGATGTACGGATCCCGATAGTGGATGGTATCGGTCTCGACTGATAGAGTCGGACACTGTAATGGATGTGTGCCGATTCGAGACAATCATTACTAACTATATCGACGCGACCATGTCGATCAACTCTTAGTCTTTTCGTGACGAGAAATCACGCAAAAACGTCTTTCGTAAAGCTGTTGCTGAGTTTTCGTACCGAATCTACACGTGTGAAAACATATAAACAGGTAAATAACTTCCGTGAGAGAGCCATTTGGCTATGCTTTATTCGAGTTGACAGTGTTCCCATGTGCGTATTTCGGTATGCCAAAAGTCACTGCTCTGTGCTGTGAAAAATCCCCCGGACAGACGCAATGTCGTGCGGTACACAAGTTCCGCGGCGGAACATTGAATATCTGCCTTTAAACTAGTTATGATACCCAGCAGAACGAGCGATAAGTTTTTGTACCCACTGTTGCTTTCTTGCGCTTCGATGGCATTTTTGAATCGGTGGTGCAATTGTTCAACCGAACTATTTATTGCTGAGTGGTAGGCGCTAGTGCGTATGCGTTCCGTACCAAGCAGCCGAGTCAACGAGGAGAATAAATCCGACCCCGACTGTTGACCTTGATCAGTTGTCATAGTAGAGACAACCATATAGCGCTATCTGCTGTTCTACGAAGCGGTGAGTAACTGTCTTCGCCACAATAGATGTGATTGTAATAGCTTCCGGCCACCTGGTGAAGCGGTCGATGCATGTATGTGGTCATACCCATGCGGTGGCAGCGGTCCTACAATGTCTAGGTGAACGTGATTGAAAGGCGCATTAAGCGTATCGAGTGCGCCAATGAAGGTAACCAGGTACCCATGCGCTTTAGATCGTTGACATTATAAAGATTGCTTCGCCCACACACGGACATCTTTATTTATCGGAGGCTAGACGTATCGTGCAGTAATGAGGCATAAAGTGGCCATCAAGCCTGGTTGAGATAGTGCATGTAGGGTGTCGAACACCAGATGACGATAATTACAGGGTAGACTCCTAGAAGTATCACACAGGATAGTACCCGAGCTAGCGGCTAGGATTACTTCCTTGAACTGAAGGGAAGTAAGGCGTGCTGCTTCCGTACAAGAAAAATTGCCTATTTGGGAGGCAGCCATGGCGGGAAGATCGAGCACAAGTAACAGCATTTATTTGGATACACGATAGCGTCAGTAACATAGTTCAACTAGCCTAGCTTTCAGTATGACGGTCTGCCGTGAACTGTGAGATATATTCTAGTTGTTTGAATTTCCAGCTTGAGGGGTTTTACGTCCTGTTGCAACACAATAGATATCCCTTTTGATATAACACTAACTACTTGGGATCCAAAAAGAAGGATGCAGCATTTTCAAGATTATTTTACATAACCTTATTTAACAACATTCTGGATGTGTTTATAATATTTTTGGTTTTGTCAGCATTAAAATTTGTTTAGATAGACCTTAACACCGTTCCTGTCACTGATGACAATGTACACAGTATATTTTTCAATTGTATCAACCAATAAACTCCTACCTACACGTCGAAATCAAACCTACTATTTCGCGTCCACTAAATTAGTTAGCCCACTTTTCTTTAGAATTTTTGAGAAACCTTAGAGATTTTATTGCAAATTTACTTGCGAACATAACATGTACACACACACGCACAGGATCGCATCATGTGCATTTTGTTTTAAGCTTTATTGATATCTAATCAGAACCATTATGAATGAAAAGTAAAGTGAAATCTCTCATTTTATTTGAGTTTTAGGGGCAAACGTTGGGTATCTTCCGTTCGTTGAATGCACTGGCTCGTGTGTTGGGTGCAGTGTTTGTAACCACAGTTTTCTGGATTTATGGACCCAGTATAACGTATATGTTATGTACTATTTTCCTAAGTTTACTGCTTATGTACAGGAAGATTACTCAGTGTCAGTCTGAACAAACGTACAAAGAAAAATGAATTAGCCGAAACCCGTCAAGCCTTCCTTTCATGTAAACTGCTGTACATTTATCAATGAACAGATTTCTGAGGTATTGATTGCTTCCGAACACCGTACACAATGAAGGGAAGTTAATAAGTCAGTGTGATCAGTAGAATTACAGTTAAAAACTTATAGGATCCTTTAAAAATAAAAGTGATGACTGAGAATGAAGAGAGTTTTCTTTGTACACATACTGTGAGTCATTCAAACGGTGAATAATTATTATACATACACGTTAGTCTTAGTCTCGATTATTCTAGAGACCCGTAGTTTTATTTTTTCAGGACCTTTAAAAAATCCTCAGTGTATTTGAAAACCCCAAGCGATTTCCAAGTTTGCTGTTAGGTTCGAGGAAACGAACTTCTCAATTTTAAAACAATTAGTCTCTTTTACATATTTCGACAGAACGATAAGAAGACATAATTCGAAAAATATGATGTATTTGCGCTATACATTTCGAACCATCTGGTCACATATATACTTGTCAAGGGATTTTATATGAAGATCAATGGGCTCACTCAGCATATGGCAAATGTCAAAGATTTGTTGAATGAGTCCAATAATAAGTTTACTCATTACAGGATGAATCATATTTTGGTTATAAGCGATAAAGAATCTAGTGTCTCTCAGTTACTGAATGGTTTCGATACTTTACAGAACGACATTGTCATTACCTACGAAGCAGAAATCAATAACCAATTCCCCCTTTTTAGACATACTGTTGAGTCCAAAGAAGAACGAAACTGCAAAGTGGTAAGTTTATAGAAAACAAACCTAGACTGGAAAGTATTTAAATTTCAGCAGCTTTTATCCGTTGCAATACAAGCGAGGCTTGGTAAAACGACTTCAAAGAAAAACCTGCACCCCGGATACATTTGAAGACGAAGCGAAATTCCTGACTGAAACATTCCTTTCAAACAGTTATCAGTGAGTGTAGGAACCAATTAAGACAGAAGTCTGTTTTTCATTCTGCTGAAAAGAAAAATGTTTATATCACTTCCCTCTCTTATAATTTGGCACAATCAGGTATTGATATCCGTCGGATGGGATTACGTCCAGTCCCCAGATTCTACCTAAGATCTCAGTCAATCTGGCTGCTGGAGCTGGACCACCCTCCTTAAAAATCTCAGGAGTAAATCTATCGTGTCCTGCTGCTCTCTCACTTCAGATTTCCGGGAGTTTTCTCAACTTCAGAAAGACTAGAAGGACTTACATCGATTCGCTATTCAGGCAACAGTAGGCAACTATTTAGACTCATCAAGGAAACTGGTATTAGGAACCCGAATAAGAGTGAGACTATTTCGGAAAAAGATGGTTATATCATTCATCATCCACCCTGGAGATTGGATCGATGGGCAGAACACTCTAGGGATCAGTTCAACTGGTCTTTAGCCACACTTCAATTGCCCACGATCTCCAGTCATCCTGAATAGCAAATCGATATAAGTCCCCCTAGTCTTCACGAAGTTGAGAAAGCGTTAGGAAATCTAAGCGAGGTAGAGCAGCAGGTCCTGATAGGCTGACTCCTGAGATTTTTAAGGATGGTGGTCCAGCTTTAACAGCTAGATTGACCGAGATCTTCGGCAGAATCTGGGAACTGGGCATAATCCCATCCGACTGGTCTCAATCACTGATTGTCCCAGTCTACAAGAAAGGACAAAACTCTTCTTGTGACAATCACAGAAGAATAAGTTTAACTAATATAGTTTCTAAATTGTTAGCCTCGATTATACTAGTGCTCGTGAAGAGCAGACTAGAGAAAACCGGGCTGATTTTCGACCTGGACGCGGCTGTATAGACCATATTTTCACACTACGACAGGTCCTGGAACACAGACACACAAACATCCTACAATAGTTGTCTTCCTGGACCTTAATGCGACATTTAACTCTGTCGACCGTGAGGTTCTGTGGCAGTGTTAATCACTGAAAGGTGTACCAAAGATTTACATTAACCTTATACAAGCTCTCTACTCGAACACTACAGGTCGAGTGAGAGCTTATTGCGAACTGTCAACGGAATTCTTTACTTCAAGTGGTGTCCGTCAGGGATATCCACTTTCCCCATTCTTGTTTACTTTTGTCATAGACATGCTCCTAGATAACATTATCTTCGTCTGAATTTTCAGGAGTCGGCCTTCTTCCAGAAAGCTCGTTTATTGACTTAGAATATGCCGATGACATAGTTCTATATTGTGAAGACGCTGACAAAATGCAGAGACTTCTGACCACCCTAAGCAACAATACAAGCATGTTCGGGATGCGGTTCTCACCCTCGAAATGCAAAATGTTGCTTCAAGACTGGGTTGCATCGACACCTGAACTAGTGATAGGCAGAGAAGTGGTCTAGCGTGTCGACCGCTCCACTTATCTGGGGAGTCTCATCAGCGCTGATAGCCTGGTGACTGACGAAATCTGAGCTCGGATACGGAAAGCTCGATTCGATTATGCCAACCTGCGTCACTTATGTCGCAGGCGAGATATTCGCTTGTTAACCAAAGGACGGGTGTACTGCGCAGTTGTTTGCCCTGTTCTCCTATATGGATGCGAAACATGGTCGTTAAGAGTAGATGTTCTTATGCCGCTAGTATTCGATCATAGATGCCTTAGAAGCATTGCTCGTATATCGTGGGACAACCGAGTAAGCAATGCTGTCGTTAGGAAACGAGTACTAGGTAAGGATGGCAGATCAATAGATGAAGTGCTGAAACTTCATCCGTTGAGGTGGTTGGGACGTGTTACGAATGCCTAACCACAGATTGCCTCGATGAGCTATGTTTTGTGGTGTAGGAGTAGGTTGGAAGAAAGCTAAACCAAAACATGGCTGAAGTTCATGAAGTCACTGACAAGCGGACTGAGTCATGTTGGTAGATGTAGGCTACCTGGTTGGGGTCCGCGAGACGAAAGTCACCAATGGTTAGAGACCTTGAACAATATGGCTCAAAATCGTTTGCAAGGGTGCAAGTGCATCCATTCTTTGAGCTCTCTCAAAATTTTAATCTTCTGGATTTGTCAGCACCTCTACCTTTGTCTTTCTAAACTTATCTCACTTAATTATACTTCTTGAATATTATCTTCAAATCCTAATCTTCTCCTTGGCAGTAATTCTTCTACTATCTCTACCACTATGGGATCTGAATTGACAATTGCGTCTCTGTGCTTATGTGGTATGGCAACATGAACTGATGTACGTACGTACGAAGTTCTACGTTGCTATTTATTGGTTGAGTCTGTTGGGATATTCAGATTGGTGTTGATAGATTAAGTAATTTAGGTTATACGAGTGAGTCTAGAGACAGCGCAATCAGACAAGTTACGCAAATTTAAGTTATTTACACTGAATCTTATAGATTTGAATCCCCGATTCCCAAACTAACAGAGTGAATGGGAAATTCGCAAAATGAATAGTTTGACCAACTTAAGAAACAGTGTGAGTTCGGTAAACAAATTTCCACTTCGTAAATTAGTCAAAGAACTTATTACTAGATTTTTGCTAATGAATTTCTACTACCAGCCTTACTGCGAAAATAGGTTACAAGTAGTTGTTTCTATGTGACAATGCCTGTCAGCAAATATTTATATCTGTGCCTGTAATTATTGTTTTCCTTTGTGTGAAACAAAGTACCACACGTAGTATGGTAGGACTTCAGAAAACAACGTGTACCACAACCGTTTGTCCGACAAAAACGATATCCAAGTAGTTCCCGATGCACTACAACATTAGTCACGATAACAAGCTTTGGCAAAAAAGCAATTAGATACAACTCTAGGACCCGTGGGTTCGTTTTATTTGCAATAATTTTGAAGGAATGGAGCTTTTAAGGCAAAGCCTCCGGACATATATGACACATTCTCTTGATTAGGAAATTTTGTCATGCAAACCACTACGAAGAAGCAATAACTAGAATCTTTATAATAACCCACATGAATTCAGCAATATGATGAGCTTTGATCGATGAAAAATAGGCTTCATGAGAAATTTAGGTTTATCTTCCTTTCAGTTAGTCTTGTATTGTGCATTTGGTGTCCTAGCATGCTTAAAAGTGTAATAAAAAAGTACTTTGAACCTTACCTTCCTTACTATCCAATCCATATCATCAATTGCTTTGGTTATAATTTCATTGATTCGATCAGGATCATTTTCGTCTGAGTGACTATTAAAATGCTAATTTATTATCAAATCGCAAAATTCCGCTACCTGTCTTATTTCATGTCTGTAATGTCCTTGCATATGTGCTGGTAAAAGTCGCGTTTTCCTTAGAAGATATGCATATAAACGTAAAGGGGTTGTTGGATAACGATTCATTTTCGATAAGTGGGTGCGTTAGAAAACCTCCTTGACATGATAGTAGCCCCAAAAACAAATAGAGAGTAAGTTAATTCTAAGTATAACTTATTAGAGAAGTATCAGAGCAGAGCCTTAGGCCTTATTCATTATAATTTATCAAATAAAACGGCCCTCATTCTTATGGCATGCAATCACATCGTTATCAAACGACAGTATGATTCGTACTCATAGCGGAAGGAATGTCAGCCTTTTTGGCTTCAGAAGACCTTTAAATCATCTAAAGTACATGGGAAAAAGACAAAATTATTACTTCAGCCGTGACTGTTGTGCCGAGTGCTTAGGTTACCCTCATAAAGAGCCCTCACAAAATCATAAGATTAAAAATGTCTAGTCTGAGTAACGTAAAAAACCTGACCTCCTAGAAGATATAAGTGTTGAAAAACCTCGTCAGGGACGGGCAACGCACACAATAGACCACATGTCATGGTTATAGGCATGCAGTAGTGGTTCCGTCAAGTACTTTTGTCAACTGTTGAAACTAATGTAGGCTGTCAAATATTAAATTATTATTCGAACTTTTTGTCGGCTTATCTTCCAATTACTACGTTTTCAGCCGGCTTAGATAAGCATAAACGATATAACTGATTCTTAAATTCACCAAACATGTGAATACTACCTTTCAAAACTATTA